ACTACCGGTACAAAATTTAATAGTGAATTATAAACAGAGCAGTTGTACGACTGATATGTTTGGTCCAATCATTAAGAATTTAGTAATCAATGCTAAATGTATGTTCAAGGTTTACAAGTGCTAAATGAGTGCTAAATATAATAACGAGTAAGCACACAATCATTTTATTCATAAATTTTTTAATTTATTACCAAAAAATATAACTTACCGGTATATACCGGTAATTTATTTTGCATAAAGTTTCTATAAAATAAGGCTACCCTTCAATACAATGACTGCATTTCCGCTTAACTCGACGCGATCGCCATTCAGACGGCACCGAACAATACCAGGTCTTTGTGAGACCTGTTTGCCAATTAATGTCTGTCCAGCCTTTGCCTCCAGTATTTGGCTCCAGTAGGGCATGAGTTGAGTGTGAGCTGACCCGCAAACCGGATCCTCATTGACTCCAGCCCAGCTGAGAAACACTCGCGAATAGAAGTGTATGCCATCCCTATTGAAGTCACACTTTTGTGTGACAATTATGCCGTTGCGGACACCCTTTCGGTCACTCATTTGATTCAGTTCATCGAAATTTGGCACAACTTTATGTAAATTGATTTCATCCGAGTCCTTGAGTCGAATCAACACAAATTTGTTTGAAATCACCACTTCCTCCACAGAATTGATGCCCAATTTTGAGCCTAAAGTGAAAGCAACTATATTTTGAGTCCATTTGTCATTCAGATCAATGGGTTTGTATTGAGTCGGAAGTGGGAATGAAATTGTGATCAAATCATTTTCATCATAACTGGAGTCTATGGGTTCACCAGCTTTGGTCTCGAAGTGATAATTAGCGACCGATTTGTCATTTGTGGCGCCATTTGTGTCTCGAGTCTTAAGGACGAGTACAGATCCAACAGTGGCGTGTCCGCACAGATAAAACTCTTGAGTCGGTGTAAAGAATTGTATTTTATATGAATTCTTGTCAGAATTCACTGAATTCTGTGTCCATTTGCGCGAAACAAATGCAGTCATCGGTTGATTCACTTCTGACGCGATTTTTTGTTTCGTTTCTTCACTCAAATCGTCCTTAAAATGAAATAATTATTATATTAATGATTGAAATATACTGTAAAGTTAGTGTTCACACATAAAAGACTGGTTATAATACTGTAGTTAACTTGGAGATAATCATTATTATTGTTTCATTCGTTTCATATAAACAACATATAATACACTTTAAAATATTATAATTGCCGTACTTTTCCTTATAATACTTACATTATTCTCGAGAATACAAACGACTGCAGGGTTTCCCAGGAATGGCTCAGTCGTGAAGGCATCGATTTGATAGAAATCTAATTTCATTATTATTATTATTTATAGTATTTTGTTTGTATAATATCGATGTCACCCAATGTATTGATTCTTATTAATAGTTTCATTGACAAATGTTTGTGCGTTTAAATAGGAATCTGTATTAATAGAGAAGCCACTTACCAACTTACCAAGGTTGTCTAAAGGCACACATGCACCTAAGCACAGTATATGAGCCGTACGATTGCAATCTATGTTAAGCCCCAATAGAAATATTATACATTACTGTACAATGAACTATAGGTAATACACTAATCAACAGAAACATACTGTATATGTGTGTCCAGATACTTTTCGATTAAATGATTGGGTTTCAAATTCTAACCAACGTAAACATATTTCCAGTACATTCAGCACATCCGTGAAATTCTGGTACATTTTCATTATCATACAGTACTGTATAACCCAAAAATACAACGGTTTAGATGACCTGTGATTCTTCAATATAAAAAGTAATACTGTAATAGACTAATGTATTAATATTGATCAAGTTGTATTATTTGTTATTAGTCCAAGTACAGTTCTTACAGTTTATCAGCTTAAATTTACATGATTTGTATTTTTCGTGCCAAGGCGGCGTGCACAAAGTACATACGCACTGGTAGGGGGG